CCCTGCAGCACCGGCACCCACGCTGACGGTCTTTCTGTCCCACCCCCCGTGGCCAGGGGGTGGTACACGATGCCTGGTGACTGCCTCGGTGACGCTGCACTAAACTCTCTTCTCCTCTCTTTCGCCGCCTGTCCACGTGTTCCCTTCACCTCCCCACCAGCTCCTTATTGGCCCTGTCACGCCTAGACCTCTTTCTCTAGGATCCACGTCATCAACGTTGTTCAGCGTAATAATGGAGAAGATACTGGCGGTATCGCGAGCTTCCGCTCTCGATCTCGAGGATTGCAATGACCAGTGATTTCCGATTGAAGCTGATCGACTGAAAAAGAGAGAAGAGGGAAATTTTAAATGAGTTTGTTTAGGAAGAATTGTTAAGCGAATTTCGATTAATGTGAAAATTTATAGAATATCGTTGAAATTGTGATGCTTTGCAAAGAAAATATTTTAAAAATAATATTGGTAATTTAATGTAGAATAAAAATTATCGTATTCTTTATGTATATATGTACTTGAAAATTGTCACGGAATATCATGGAAAATGAAAAATTATAAATAATCTTAAATTTTTAATTTTTTTCAAGTTGTCAATTATTAAAAATGTATACAAAAGCATTATTCGATATAATATTGTTTTTTTTTTAAAAAAACGATAGTATAAATTCTTTCATTAACCTCACGAATAAAAATCAAATGGAACGATGGCTGGCCGAGTTGCTGCTCCATTTTATCCAACCTGTTCAAGTGCGCGCGTACTCAACGAATTTTCAAAATCGATTCCTCCTACAACGAAGCCTTCTACGAAAAAAAAAACTTTGTTCCACATTCATGACTCTAATATACTCAAGAAACGGCTTCCATGCTAATCGTTGTAGAAATTCCACATGCTTCGACTACAAATATGTTATCCAACAAAATAAACATATGACAATGATCAAACAATATTTATTATGTTTCTATTATCAATCAAAATTAAATGGCACATCTAAGATTCAAAATAAAATAATAAAGGAACGAGCAATTGACGTTACGTGAATATGATTACAGCAATCCTTTTTCTATTTTTAAAGAAATATGATTGTTTGGTCATCTTGAGTTTCGTGTAATTTTCCCACGATATTTAATTTACACATGTGATTTTTATTGTTGATAGGAACAATAGAACACCGTGTTGATTCGCGACCCCGGAAACATTTTATACGTAGCTCATTTGCAATGATAACGCGAAAACAAAGTCAAGAGTGTTTGAATAGAGAAGCAACATTTGAATAACAAAAAGAATTTCCAAGCAACGTTAACACCTTTCTTTACTATACTATTTCAAATATTTATTTTATTATCGTTTATTATATTCGCAAATAGGGTAAATAGACACAATTCAAAAATTCAGAACATGAGAAAGCTTTTCCCCATTTCATAGAAACAAGAGGGAAATGTAAATACAAAACTCTAATGTAAAGCAATTATCCCATATATAATTTATTAATTTTCATGAAATATTGTTCAACCTGTTTTTCAATTTACCATTTCATTTCCCTTTGCCTCGTTTTAATTATTTATC